GCAATCAGAACATTGTGTGTGTGTTGAAGTTGTTTTAACGCAAACCAAAGATTCTTATGCATGCCAGTGCTGTGTGTGAGGTAATTTAAGGTGGTTCTGACAAGTGTCGTCGGCATCTTCATATCCGGTCACATGGGCGGCAAGCCACTCCCATCCAGTCACATGGGCAGCAAGCCACTCCCACAAAGGAGGCCACACCCACAGAGTAGGTTCGAACAATTTTTGAAACCCACCACTGGTGGGTGGGTGAGGGGGCTGTTTTGGAATTGTCATGTGTGTTGGACCTGGTCTCTGGGTGTTATGTGAATTTCGTTGTGTGGATACACTGTGTATATACGTACAATGACAATAAAGTAATTTCAATTTCAAACAGAAACGCAGCTTTGCTTGAACAGCTACCTTTTTTTCCCCCCGGTTCTGCCAGTGCAATCTTCCAATAAATATTACAATTTATACCTCTGAGGATTGCAAATAAATTTGCAGATGGGTTGGGAGGAGGGGCGAGAAGGGATTAAAAGGGGCAGGATCTATTGCAAACTGCATCAAAAGTCTAAAGAAGTAGAGATGCTTGCTGCTTTGAAAGCATGTGGGCAAGACTAGTGAGTTTCATTCTTACTCTCCCTTCAGCACTAATCTAGCCACACCAGGAGCAGAAGAAGACTTCCAGAAGGGGCCTCAGAATCCAGTAATAAGGATCCTTCAAACTAAGGCTTACCCATTCTGAATAATGAAATCCACCAATGGAAGGGAGGTTTTGTTGGCATAGCGTACTGCCCAATGCAAGGCTGGTTCACCTTGTTCCTATTAGAAGAAGAAGAAGCAAACATTTTGCAGAACTTTTTACAATGGAAGTCAAATTAAAATAAAAATCTAAAAAAATGAACCACAAAGACATCTGAATTACATTACATCAAGTCGATAGCAATAGAAATGGCACTTAGACTTACTGTATTTTTCAGAGTATAAGACACACTTTCCCCCCCTCAAAGAGGGTGAAAATTTGGGTATGTTTTATACACTGAATGTAGTCCCACTCACCCGCTGGCCCCCACCCTTTGGTTTCTGCCTGCTAGCAATTTGCCTCCTTGCAGCAAACAGCAAACAGCCTATTTCAGTTTCAGCACAGCTTGATTAGCACAAGCAGCTGATTGTCAATTGGATTGGCCTATTGCTGCCTCTGTGGGCCCTGTTTTCAGCCTCTGTGCACCCCATTTTCCACACATTCCAATCCACGCCGCCTGGAATATGCAGAAAACAGGATGGGCAGAGGCAGAAAACAGGGCGCACGGAGGCTGAAAATGGGGCGAACAGAGGCAGAATAGGCAATGGCAATCCCTGCAGCCTGAAACAGCTAATCATCAGGAGGCCGACAATCAGCTGCTTGTGCTAATCAGGCTGTGCTGAAATTGAAACTGAAACAGGCTGTTTGCTGCAAGGAGGCAAACTGCTGGGAGGCAGAGACAGATTTTTTTTTCTTCTTTTCCTCCCCAAAAGGTAGGTGCATCTTATACTTCGGCGGGTCTTATACTTCAAAAAATACAGTATATACCACTCCATAGTGTTTTACAGCACACTCTGGGCAGTTGACAATGTCAGCACATTGCTCCCAACAATCTGGGCCCTCATTTTACCAATTCTGGAAGGATGGAAGTCTTAGTCAATCTTGAGCCCATCAGGATCGAGCTTCAGTCTATGGGCAGAGTTAGACTGCAGTACCCCACTTTAACCACTGTGCCACCACCAGGACTCCTTAATATCCTAAGTTGATATTAAAGGAAGCCTCATAGGTGTCTGTCAGATGTGGGTTTCTGTTATGAGAGATTCAACCTATAACTGTCCATTCTTTTGTCAAGAATACCCATGCCACAGTGGCCGCAAGCCGAAACCACAAACAATACCAATCTCTCGGGGTGTGTGTTCTGTTAAGATACAGCCTGTTGTGCCTTAAAATGGCTTCTACTATACGGCCGTAAAATGTACAATGTAGTGGAGTTGCCATGGTAACAGCTTCACAGTACTCACAAGGGGGCTCCCTCTGGTAAGGGGGAAAATCTAACATTAGAAATTATGTTTGGTACGGGCATTTTCCCCCTACAAATAAATATCCAGGCAACTCTGGGTTAATGGCTAGCCAATAAATAAAAATCAAGAACGTGAAGGTCATTTATCAAAGCAACCATGTTTTGGCTGACTTCTGTTTCTTGTGCCCCACTTTGTCCCACTCACCTGACCTTCAGGACTCACGAGAGGTTTGGACAGATCGTGGCCTTCAGCAAAAGCCTGGAGCAGTGCCAAGAGATCCCTGCTTCGGATAGCTTCCCAGACTCGGTAAGGATCTTCCTTGGTAACTTTGTGGACATACTTGCGTTCCATATACTTTGCCATGATGAATTCCTTCCTGGTATTCCTGCATTTGGGAAGAGGAAAAGTTCTCCAAAAGTGTTGGGTTTTTTTTTTTTTTTGAGACCTTAGAGCAAGGGTGGGGAATGATGACCCTTTTATGATTTGCGGACTTCAACTCCCGGAATTCCTGAACCAGCCACGCCAGTTCAGGAATTCTGGGGGTTGAAGTCCACTAGTCGTAAAGGGCCATTGTCCCCACCTCTGCCTTAGAGGTACATAAGAAGGGCTCAGCTCAGCCAGACCTGTGTTTTATTACAGTGGTACCTTGGTACTCATCGTTAATTGGTTCCAGGAGGTGTGATGAGTACCAGAAATGATGAGTACCAAACAAATTTTTCCCATAAGGCATAATGTAGTGAGTCACAGTGCAGCTAAACCTAACAAGTCGAGTACCAAACAAACGAGTACCAGGACAAAATTTTTGCATCAAAATGCACTGAGTGTCAGCTCCTCTCCATTTATTAATTAGGAAAGAAAGACCATGAGACTCCATGCGTAGAAATCAAATGTACTTTTACTAATTAAAAATGGCTAAAAGGCTATGCATAGCGAAGTCTGATTAATTAGGCGCGAAAGCAGTTGATATATAGAATAGCCCATTCCCCACCCNTTTTTACGTGCTTTCAAACTGCTAGGTTGGCAGAAGCTGGGACAAGTAACGGGAGCTCATTCCGTTACGCACCACTAGGGATTCGAACTGCTGAACCTTCTGATCGACAAGGTCAGCATATTTTAACCACTGAGCCACCGCGTCCCTCTATCTTAGCTATAGATATACTCCTATATATTTATATGCAGAGACATAAATGAACAACAACAAATTTAACTGGCGGTGTCATTGCTTTAAAAATGGAAAATTGACACATCCACATATGTGTGATAATTGACAGGGCAGCCTTTCAGATCCTGAAACCGTAACACAAATGGGCATTCAGAAGCAATTGCTGTTGCTTGCCAACACAGTATTACTCTGTGCCTGCTACGGTCTAGAAAACACATGGCAGATCCATCACTGCTGCCTCTTGGCATGGGTTCTTATTTTGAAACTTGGAGGGAAATGCCAACCTCGTCCCCTCCCCCTGGCTTTCTGAGATTGCTGCCATCAGCTCTAAGGTTGAAATGGATACCCATTCTATAACTGAGCCCAGATTGCTGCCCAGGGATACCATGTTAATGCTGGGTAGAAAGGAGACCCCCCAACTCCAGATGGCTCAAACTGTTAAAAAAAAAACCCACAACCTCTTGCGGGCTCTCCATAACTCACTGGTGCAAATCTTCTTGGCGTTGGCACAGGCAGAGGTGTCGGCCCTGGCATCGCAGTTTTGCATAAAGACACTTCATCCGGGCAACAAGGGCTCTGCGGGGAGAGAGGGCTGCTGGAATATTTACCCATCGAGCTGCTACTACTAATCCGTCGATAGGACCTGGTGCTCTCTGAGCTGTAGGAGAAAAGAAGGTGTCTCAGAAATAATTTTTGGTGGTGGAGAGTGTCTTCTTGTGGGACTATCGAAAAGAGATACCAATTTGGGCTGGGAAATAAGACTTCCGGAACTTATTGTTGTGGCCTGCCGGCAGAGCTGACAGCAGAGTCGGGCAGTGAGGAGGTTGGGGAGCAGCATGGGCCACTCCTGGAGGCTGGGAAAGGTTTGGACAAGAGGCTCTGTCTCTCCTTCTTCCTTTGCAACCCATTCCCATCATAAACCATTACAGAAGTCCCTAAACCAGTGTTTCTCAACCTTGGAGACTTGAAGTCCACAGGACTTCAAGTCTCCAAGGTTGAGAAACATTGCCCTAAACATTAAGAGCTGGTATCTGTTTAGTTAGTTTGTTTGTTTATTCTCGTGTTCCTTTTCTTTCCTCATTCACCCTTCTTTTTATGCTTGGTCAGAGATTTGATGAAAAGCATGTTTTGTTTCTCCTTGTTGATTTATCAGCAACATGTATAACCTGTTTCCCCAAAAATAAGACCTCCCCGGATAATAAGCCCAATCGGGCTTTTGAGCGCATGCGCTAAAATAAGCCCTCCCCCCCAAAATAAGCTCCCCTTCAAAATATTTAACTGCATGCGCAGCCTGCCATTTCCTGGGGGAGAGGAGCATGCCCCACACACCCCACATATACCTGCCATCCATGCGGAATGGCCTTGTGGAGGCCACTCCCGCAAACCCTCGCTACCACAGCCCTTCTCTTAGTGGCAGCCACAAAAAGAACGGCAGGCCCAGCATTGTTGGGGCTGGCAAGAGTGTGCCAGAAAGAGACACCAAACTTCCGGCCCATTCTGGATCAGCTGATTCGTGGGCCACAGGACAAGGTTAAGGGGCCTCCTCCACCTCAAATATAATAAGACCTCCCCGAAAATAAGGTCAAGCGCTTATTTTGGGGTGGTCAAAAGAAAATAAAACCCTGTCTTATTTTTGGGAAAACACAGTAGTAGAGAATAGAGCCCACTTTGGTACAGATGTTAAAATAATGCACAGGTAGTCCTTGACTTACAACAGTTCATTTAGTGACTGTTCAAAGTTACAACGGCAATGAAAAAAGTGACTTATGACCTTTTTCAGACTTACGACCTTTGCCGCATCCCCATGGTCATGCAATCAAAATTCAAACACTTGGCAACTGATTCGTATTTATGACGGTTGCAGTGTCCCGGGGGTCATGTGATCCCCTTTTGCGACCTTCTGACAAGCAAAGTCAACGGGGAAGCCAGATTCGCTTAACAACTGTGTTATTAATTTAATGCCTGCAGTGATTCACTTAACAACGATGGCAAGAAAAATTGCAAAATGGGGCAAAACCCACTTAAACAACAGAAACTTTGGGCTCAATTGTGATCATAAGTCGAGGACTACCTGCATGCGTATCAGCAGGGAGAATCGGGAGAATGCCTTCTCAAGTTACAATTTAGAATTAATATCTAGGCTCCTTTTTGGAAGTGAGAGATTATGGTTTTATAGATATGATGCTTTTATATACTTGCACTTGAAGGTGGAAGCCTAAATAAATGTAATGATAGATACTATTAATAAGGAAGGAATATTTTAGAAATGACACCAGTATGGACTAATTTTGGACCTACTTATATATAACTTTTATAGTGGTGTTTGTCTACAACAGCCTCCCAAATTATTGTACAGTCACCAATTCCTTTGCCAACACTGTAACCATATTACAGTATGTTTATTTATTTGAGAAACTAAATACTGGTTATCTCGCTAGGGAAAACTATTACCATGTCAATAGCCATGGAAAATGGATTCAAACATCTGAGCAACATGTGAAACTCCACACACCTGGCCTGGATACTCTACCAGCTGGATTCAAGTGATATGTGATATGTAAGCAAATCAACCATACTACGGAAGCTTAATGCCAGCCTCCTTCATGCACTAGGCTGGGGAAATGGCTGGCTCCCAAATACAGAGAACTAGAAATTATGGTTTGCTTAGGTAAAGCCAAAGAGCCAGCGCTATCCAAAGATGTCTCCGTGGTCACGTGGCCGGCATGATTAAACGGTGAAGGTGCACGGAGCGCTGTTACCTTCCCACCAGAGTGATCCCTGTTTGTCTACTTGCATTTTTTACATGCTTTCGAACTGCTGGGTGGGCAGAAGCTGGGACAAGTAACGGGAGCTCACTCTGTTACGCGGCGCTAGGGATTTGAACAGCTGAACTGCCGACCTTCTGATCGATAAGTTCAGCGTCTTAGCCACTGAGCCACCGCATCCCTTATGGTTTGCTTAATCATAGTATATTCAATAAACTCCAGTTGTCGGGCTCCTTACTTGCTAAGCAACTAATGATGGTTTACAAGCTGCAGTGGCCAGGTTCTTATGAGGCTAAACCATTAAACGGTTGAATGCTTTGTCTTAATCAGAGACAACAGAAGGAACCCAGGTCCTCCTATAGATTTTAGCTGAAAACTGTACAGGGAATGGAAACTGCTGATAATAGCAGCAATAGCAATAGCACTTAGACTTATCTACCACTCCATAATGCTTTACAGCACTCTCTGAGAAGTTTACAATGTCAGTGTACTGCCCACAATAATCTGGCTCCTCATTTTACTGACCTCGGAAGGATGGAAGGCTGAGTCAACCTCCAGCTAGTCAGGATCGAACTCCTGGCTGTGGGCAGAGTTAGCCTCCAATCCTGCATTCTAACCACTGCGCCACCAGGGCTCAACCTACTAAGCTGCTCAACTTACAAGGGATTGGTTTTTATTTTATGAATGTGATGCATATGGCCACCCTTCTCATGAACAGCATCTGGTCTGATAACTTCTGGTCTCACCTGAACCTGACTGGGGGTGTTTGTCCTGGTTCCGGAGAGGTCCCAGGGGAAGGCTGCAGAGCTATCATCTGAGTAGGCTCTGATCTTCGCCGTTGAGAGGCACCGCCGACATCGGAGCAGGTCTCCCAATAGGCTGTGGCTTTGACTTCCATAGAGTTACGGATGTTGGCTGATTGCCAGAATGGGCCACCCTCCAACACACTGGGGATGCTGGAAAGGGATGAGTTCCAAACGTCAGGGCTGTCTGGCGAATGGGGTAGCGATTCAGAGGCATCTGGAAAGCAAGGGAAACAATCACTTATGGGAGCAGAACAGAGGTGGGATTCAGCCGGTTCTCTCCAGTTCAGGCGAACCGGTAATGGCAGCTGCAAGAAGCTCCACCCACCAGCCCCAAAGTAATGTGCGAGCATGCATACAGGTTTGCCAACATTTTTGCTTCACCTGGTTTTGATTTGCTGCTCCCTTTCGGAGGCTTCTTGAGTGGCAGTGGCGGTGGGGTCTTCTCAGTGGCAGAGTTTCGTTGACCAGGCTGCGAAGGGATCACGATGGTCTCATAGGTCTTGTTGCTGATATCCATGCCAGAGCAGCCCCATCGATTTGGAGAGAAGAGAATGGGCTGGCCGGTGGTGGGAGATGGTGAAGACCCAAAAGATCGTTGCAGTGGGCTAATCTATCAGACAAAGCAGCAGATGTCATCAGCACCTGGAATCAGGGGTGGGATTCAGCCAGTTCGCACCGGTTCAGACGAACCGGGTGTTAATTTTGCATCCGGTTTGCCGAACAGGTTGTTGCAAGGACTGGATGGCCCCGCCCACCCCGCCCTGCCCCTGGAACATTATCAGACAGGACACAACAACAAATGGAGTTGTTATGCCAGCACCTTTTCATCCAGCTCATCTTCGCTGTCGTATGAGAACTCCTGAGACGTTTCCCAGTCGTAGTCCACATGGATCTGCATAGCCAGCTTCCCAGCCTGGGCCTGCTCCAGCTATCACAAAAGGATAAAAAGGACATCCTTGATCAGTTCACCATCTAAGAGGTTCTCCTATTCCTTCAAAGGTTGTGATGTCATTCTTCAGGTTGACACCCTGCCTGTCAGTCAGAGAGAAACCTCTGCCTTAGACAGCAGTCTGAGAAAAGCCCACTGTGAAGTTTCCAAAAGATGACCTAATTAATTTACGAGCCTCGAGACAAAGTTCAAAAGAAATCCAGTCATTTATTACGATCAATATTTTGGCATGTTCTTCTGCGGAGCCAAAACTGATTTCCGGTTAATTGTCTTTGCATTTTACCCCTGTCTCTCCCCTCCCTCAGTTTGTGTCATAAATCATATCCATGAATGAAATGTTAGCATGCTTGAACTTTGCACCCCACACACACCAGTTATCAGCTGCCTTCAGAGTCAGACATCAGTGAGGCAGACAAACAACTGGAGCCTGTTCCCAGTGTGCGCATGCACAGAGTTGCCAGATGAACGAAACAGCTAAAGAACAGGGGTCGACTTGGAGTAAGGCCACAGATGGACGATTAATGGCCCCTCCCAGAGGAAATAAAAGAGGAGCGAAAGGGGAGTGGAGCTTGCAGGAGACAATTAGTTCGCTTAATTGATTCGTGACTCTCNTATGTTTTAGCCTCCAGTCCCCTGGAGTGGAGCAGGTGAATGTTTTTTGCAGTTGCCAACAGCCAGTTCAAATTTCCACAGACTCTTCTTTTTAGAAACAAGGCTGTGCCCATCCTATGCAAAACCACAGAGCCAGGTCCTGACCTTGTTTTATTTATTTATTTATTTAAAGGATTTACATGGCTGCCCATTAACTCTCAGTGATTCTGAGTGACCTTACCCTTGTTTCTTCTTGTTGTATTCTGACAACAGAGATGGGGCCCTACTCTCTGCCCCAAGTCCATCCTCAACAGATATCTCCAAAGCCTTCCCCCATCCCACCTCTGCCCCCCAAAAGCAACACCCATATGACTCACATATCGCTGCTCAAGGAAGGTTTGGGGCTGTTCTGGATTGGCAAGGTGGCTTCCATGACTTCATTAAACTTGGCGTTTCCAATGCTGACTGCCAGCTGTGAGTGAGACAAGAGCCACTGCGTTACTGGCAGGATGGGGAACCATCATATCATCCCAAGGAGCATCCACAAGCCATGTTGGACTAGCCAGTAAGGTAAAAATGGAGGCAAGAGGTTGAGAAAGGAAACTTGGTGTGCTATTTTCTACCACCTCCCTTTATTAACTCAATAAAGTTTGCCCTAACACGAAAAAGAAGACGCCGGAATCAAAGAATAGCAGAAAGGACGTGTTTGCTCCAACCTGAAAGTTAGCACTTACCAACAATTCCGATGTGCTGAGCACATCTAGTGTCAAAGATTGGATGCGGGAATAGTGCACCCCTAATTCACGGTGAATCCCCGAGCACTCAATACATGTCAAGATGCCAAGGTTGGTGGAGAGCCAGGTGGGATCTGCAAGATAGCAACCCAGGAAGAAGCTGTGACATACATATAAGGCAGAGGTGGTATTCAGCAGGTTCAGACCAGTTCTGGAGAACTGGTAGCGGAAATTTAAAATAGTTCAGAGAGCCACTAAATACCGCCTCTGACTGGCCCCGCCCCCAACTATTCTCTACCTCCCGAGTCCCAGCTGATGAGGAGGAAACCGGGATTTTGCAGTAACCTTCCCCTGGAGAATGGGGTGGGAATGGAGATTTTACAGTATCCTTCCCCTTGCCACACCCACCAAGCCATGCCATGCCCACCACGCCATGCCCACAGCACCGGTAGAAAATTTTTTGAATCCCACCACTGATATAATGACACCTCCTTCTCCTACTCATTCTGCAAACCAGTGGTGGATTCCGGATCCTGTTGCAACCGGTACGGTGCAACGGGGCCTGGCATCCACCACAAGAACGCACACAGCGGGCGCATGCGTACTTACCATCTGCAATATTCCGCAACGCCTCCGCAACACTCCAGCTGCTTGGCGGAGCATCGCCCAGGCGCCGTACGCTCCATGTGCGGAAGCCCCGAAGAGCTCAAAGGACTCAAAGGTAAGGACGGCAGGCGGGTGGGCAATTGAGGTCATAAGTCAGTGGTGGGTTTCAAAAAAATTTAGAACCTCTTCTGTAGGTGTGGCCTGCTTTGTGGGAGTGGCTTGCCGGCCATGTGACCGGCTGGGAGTGGCTTGGCAGTCATGTGACTGGGTGGATTTGGCCAACTTGTAAAATGTGGTGAAACTCACTTAACGCTCTTGCTTAGCAACCAAAATGTTGGCTCAGAAACTCTGGCATTTGAAGCACACAAG